CCCAGTATTCCATTGTGTTATGTGCTAGCTTTTCAAGAGATTTTGTTGGCACTTGCGTAGAAAGTAGAAACATTACATGTTACTCTAAATGCCTTGTAGCAATATAGCATAATTTCTATTACTACTTACTACTTCATAGTCAGTAAAAGAAACATGATAGGACTTGATGCCTTGAACCCTGGTTTGATTATTTATATACCACCTCATGGGTAAGGATTTGAATGGTATATTGCTTGTTTAGGCTGAATACAACAGAGTAATGCTACAAAATTCATTAGCACGTGTGATGTCAACATATTCAGAGACAACTCGTATGCAACAGAGACAACCCTAAATGGCATACTACTATGCAGTTTTATCATTGTTCTACCAGAAGACAACTCATCTACGATTGGCAATTTGACACCAGCCAAACAGGCAAGGATTCTATGCAGAAACCAGTAGTGGCATGGTGAGAGGATGGTTCAGTCAGGTCACCAAAAAATGAACAATGCTCATAAAATGTACCGACAGTTCTAGTCTTCTCTGAAGACTGCTCCATATGACTATTTTTTCTCTACAAATAGACATATTTGAGAGAAATCAGTGTGACTTATCTGAAACAAAACAACATAAGAATAGATACAACAGCCACCTTGCTCGTCATGACCCCCTCCGAAGCAGCCCTTCTATCCTGAAATCCTCAACACAAATGAAAATCACAGACGATGACGAGTTTATCTCGCAAAATATGCACCTAGTCGAACATGATGCACTTGAAAAGATCCAACACACACATGCTGCTTGTCCTCTATTGGCAGTCTCGCATCTGTGCGGCTGGGAACCGGCAGAAAACCTCCGCCCCTAAAACGCCTACGCTTACTCATATCAAGCATACCGTTGGTAGCCTCCATGGTTAGCACGAAAGAATGGGAGGGACCATGGCAGTTGAGAACCGGAGGCACCACAAAAGGGTATCAACCCCAACTCGAACATGCTAGCAAGCACCGTTGTCGTCTCCGCCTCCGATGGCATGCACGTCCAGATCTAAAAAGAGAAATACCTCGAAGCCAAATCTGATTTATTAAGCTATGAAAGGGGAGCAATCGTTGCCGAACTCAGGTATGGCGGTCGCCGGGGAAGAAGGGACGGGCCGCCGGCGAGGAATCTGGGACGTGTTCTCGAACACTCGATGTCTTTCCTGAGAGAAGGAGAAACGAGAACATAGGGGTCGGAGGTCTTCTCCAGAATTTTATCTGATACAAAGGGTGTTTTCGCAAAATTGCAAGTGGCTCCGAGGCGACCCATGTGAGCCTTACGTTCTAGATTGGACGTTACAAATGGCATGAAGGCAGGCGCACCATCATCACCAACTTACTCGTTTATAGGAGTAGAGACATGATTCAACAAAAAAAAGCATGTGTTATTCGTACTCGTTTTGACAGCAAAATAAGTTTTTCTTTACAGAGATCTATAGTGACAAGCTCGAATTTTTGGCATACTTAATCTTGCTTGAAGAAAGACACGTCTTACAAAATGATGGTGGTAGTATAACCCAAAAGATAATGGCAATTGCCTGTGACATGAGATGAAAATAGATTTGATCCAAAATCTGAAAAGAAGCAAACACCCTTTCTGAACAAGTTAGTCCAGGAAAGAATATGTGGACAGATGAATAGAATACCCGAATTAGGGTGAACATGCGCACATGATTAGCGAGAGATGCTGACCCCCTAATTTCTGCTCCAATGATGGGACTGCTTTTGCGACTGCCAGTGCTCATATATTCCCTTCCCTCCACGCAGTAGAGTGGCATGGACGCAAAGCACAAACGTACGTACGTAGACGTACGCAGCAACTCGTATCCGCATACCACGTGGATCCTGACCCACGTATGTACGTACGTACGCAGGACGGATTAGCCTAGCCAGTGGGTTGATCCATCCTCGTTTACGAAAGTACTCCAAGTGAAAAAAAAGGATTAGTGTAGCCGGGGGAGAAGAAGGCGATGACTCGGAACGGAACGGGAAGGCGAACATGAAGATGGGCCGGGCCGGATAAAGTTGGTGCATGCGCTCCCGTGGCTGTAAAGCGGGCAGGCAGGCGACGCTGACATTTCCTCGTCACGTGACTCATTCAATGCCGATTGGGAAAGGCCGGTACAGACAGTAGGGGCTAAAAGAAAAGAAAAGAAAAGCGAGTATTTATTTACGGATTTATGAAAGGCGCGTGCATGCATCGCATACGATCCAACAGCAACGAACAGGGGTGGCGTGTTGCTTCTGCAGCACTCCACACATTTCGACTCATAAATTGGAATGCCGAGTCTGTCTATGGCTACGGCTACGACCACGGCGTGGTGTAGTATGCATGATGGGCAGCAGTAAAAGAAAACCAGTGCAGTGCAGCTCCTGCTGGCGCGGTGACACCAGCACAGTAGCGCATGCATGGATATGGGCCGCCGATGTGAGCAGCCGCAGCAGCGAGCGAAAAGGTGGCGAGACCTTGGCGCCTTGCAAGTAAAAACGATGTCCAATTGAGCGAACAAAGATCCAAGACGGCCAACATTCAGAGCCATGCATTGCGCCGTCTCGATGTGGATAAGATCCAAGGCAGCCAGCCAGCCAGCCAGCGACCAAAGTTGCGGCTCATTTCATTGGCATATCACGGAAAGGAAACTCCTTTTCAGTTTTCACCACATGCGTCAATGGCGGATCCATCTTTCTCTCATGGTCATGGTCTCATGGAGTACCTAGCTACTCATAACAAGGCACAGGACTTGCGTTTAATCGGAAGCGTACTCTGGAGTAGATGGAATTAAGCTGGAGACAGTGGTTCAAATGGTGGTGGTTGTGTCATCGATCGGCTGGATCTGTTGTTGGTACTTCGAGCTTGCTTTACTGCACGTCTTATCGCTTCTTGCAAGCACGTAGTACATGCAGTATTAAGGCCACTAAATACTGCAGTATTGCCAATTCACGGATGAGCAGAGACCCCGTCCGATCTGATCCGTCCAAAGCCATCATCAGGTCAGTCTGGCAATCACGATCAAGATTAAGATCGCAGCCGCATGTTGTGTTGAAAGGGTCGCCAAATCGGGCACGCCACAGCGCAGCAGAGGGAGAGGTAGGTGTGCGCTTGATTGTTGCTTCACGGCGAAAAGAGGAGGCCTCTCGCTGGCCCGGTGGGCCCGACAGCTCAGCGGTGACATGGACCGCTACGCATGACGCGTCGTGAGGGCGTATAAATACGCGCGCCTAGGCCGTATTTAAGTCCACCTTTTCTGCGTGTCCCCGTGTGTAGTCTACACGCTCCTGCCCCGGCCCTGCCCTGCCCGTGAAGGGACCACCGGTTTTACTCCTCCAAAAGCCTAATTTTCTGGGCTCAAATAATAATACTGTGGGCCTGCTTGGATCCAAAGGACTATTTTTAGTCTGACTAAAAATAGTCTCTTTTAGAGGCTAAAGTTCCAAGCACCTCTGACTAAAGAGAGACTAGAACTAGTCTTGGGGCTAAAACTTTTTAGTCACATGAAACCTACTAAAATATGTATTAGCCCTTTCTCTCCTCATTTAATTCATCTCCTTTAGCACATGCGAGTTCTGGATTGGATGGTTTGGAGGATAATAAATGCTCAATAACTTCATTTTAGTCTCTTTAGTATTTGGATCCAAGCATGGGTGAGGCTAACAAGTTTTAGTCCCACTACTTTTAGTCATGGGACTAAAACGTATCTCTTGTGTACTCGGCCGCGTACTGGGATACGTGGACTGTGCACACTGCACGGCAAAAGTTTCCAGATTCCGTGCATTGGCAGGGAGGAGGACGGGAGTCATAACTCGGATGGGATGTGGTTAGATACGCGTATACAGTGTGGAAGGCGGCAAGTATGCGGTACTGTACATTTATGAGTGCAGTAGGGTATTTGCCACCCTGATGAGTTGGCGTGGTACTGGGTATTTTTGCTCCGTATTTAATTTACCTCCACATATGGGTTTTTTAGGTTCCTTCATATATTTTGAGTCAAAGTTTGGCTATCTATTTAACTAATAAAATATTAAATGTATTTTAGAAAATTGTTATATAATTTGTATTCGAAAGAGGTTCTGAATGATATATTTATACTTTAGCCTACAATAAAACCCGAAAGGAGGAAGAAAAGCAAGGCAGAAAATAATGGTGCACAACATGAACTTTGTTCAATCGAAAGAGTGTGCGGCTTTAAAATCGATAATATAGCTTAAAATGAGCGAGAGAATAAAGGAATCATTCAAAGGAAAAAAGAAAAGAGGAGATAGTAAAGAAAAAATGGTTGGGTACAGAGCAAGGAGAGGAGGAATAGTGGGGCAGCAAATACTATTCTCCCTCCACGCTTTTAAAAGCTCACCACACCACACCACACCCTACGCGAGACCTTTTTTATTTTATTTTATTTACTGGGCCTGAGATTTGAGTGAGGAAGGGGAGATGTGTTGGATAGGGCTAATGCCACACTTACGGGCTAGATGCTCACGGAATCATCTACGGGAGGATGTGGAACCAGCTGATTGGTGCTCGTTTTTTCGCTTTGCGTGAATCGCGGCGCCCACTTGCTCTTTCGTTCCGCCACATCAGTCCGTAGCTAAGCTTTCAGTAAAACTTGCCCGTAAGTGTAGCATTACTGCTTGGATAGGCATCTTGGCCAGCTAGGATGAGGCTCTCTCAAACGGAAAGCAGGAGAGTGCAGTGCAGTCAAAGCTGGCATTTCTTCTCCCTCCCTCCCTCATTTGCTTGCCCATCCCCCATTTTCTCCTTCTTCCCCACCAATTCAAACCGAGATAACATTATAAAATACCGCAACTACTACTCCACACAAGGCGTTAGATTTGGGAGAGGGGTCCGTATATATAGCCTCCTCTCTCCTCTCGCCTCCTCGCCTAGCCATTCCTCTCCATCTCTCTTCCGGTGTCCAGCCTCCCGTGTCATCGCGGATCGATCCGAGCTTCGGTTGGGCGGGTGCGCCGATTGATGCGCGTGAGGCAATGGCGGTCTCCTCGCCTTCTTCCGCTCCGGAGAAGAAGAGGAAGTGGCTCCTCAGCAACAGGAAGGTCCGTACGAGCTCGCTGCTCGCCTTGCCTGCTCACGGCTGCGATCTCAGATATCTCCGCCCCACATTCTTCTCTTTTCTTTCGTTGGGTGTTCTTCATCCGGCCAGTTCTTGCCACGCCAATGGCCAATCTGTACAAGAACTGTTTGCTTTTTTCTCTGTACCGCACAAGTGCCAACAACATTTGGTCCTTCGACTCGACAAGCAGGGTTGTTTGGTCGTGCCGTCCAAAATCCAAATCACAGGACAGCCTCTTCGAGCTGAGCAAGAAGTACTTCCTTCTTTCGAGCATGGCGTGCCTTTTCTTCTTGTTTCTTTTTCTCTCCAAGATCGACATGCTTGATCTGAGCGCACCGTCTGCTATGCTCTGCTCCGCTCTCGGTTTTCTCTGTTGTTTTGTCCCCCAAAAAATTCATTCATTTTCGCTGTCTCGGATTGGTCCATCTTTCTCTGTTTGTGCAAGAATCCGACCTCGTCTGGCAGAAATCTCATGCTTGTTTCGGTATGTATGCGCAGGTGATCGACAGGTACCTTCGGGAGGCGCGGGCGATTCTCGCCGCGGCGCCGGAATCCGGCGGCGGGGACGCCGTGGCGGCGCTCGGCCTCATCGACGCCGCGCTGGACCTGTCGCCGCGGATGGAGGCCGCGCTCGAGCTGCGGGCGCGGGCGCTCCTCGCGCTGCGGCGGTACCGCGAGGTCGCGGAGATGCTCCGTGACTACATTCCCAGCTGCGGCAAATCCTGCTCCGGCGAGGATGCCTCCTCGTCGTCGTCCTTGTCCTCCTCCAGCTCCGGTGACCTTGGCACAATCTCCCGTGCCAAGCTCCTCTCCCCCGAGCGCCACCGCTCCGACGCGGCCGAGACTGACACTGGGACCGCTCGCTCCTTCCGCTGCTTCGATGTGTCCGAGCTCAAGCGCCGCGTCCTGGCCGGCCTCTCTAAGAACCCCAACACGGACACGCAGTGGCGGTACTTGGTCCTGGGGGAAGCTTGCTTTCACCTCGGCCTCATCGAAGATGCCATGGTTCTTCTCCAGACCGGCCGCCGCCTCGCCTCGGCGGCTTTCCGCCGCGAGAGCGTTTGTTGGTCGGAGGACAGCTTCTCATCATCGACTGTCGCCGCAGCTGTTGCCTCAGTGCCATCGGGCAACGCTTCCAAGTCCGGGTCGGCGTTCATCATACCGGCCGTGGAGTCGGAGGCCATGTCCCAGCTCCTGGCTCACGTGAAGCTCCTGCTCCGCCGCCGCACGGCCGCCATGGCGGCCCTCGACGCGGGCCTCCCAGCGGAGGCCGTCCGCCATTTCTCCAAGATACTCGAGGCACGCCGTGGCGTGCTCCCGCACACCTTCGCCGCCGCGTGTCTTGTCGGCCGCGCCGCGTCATTCCAGGCTGGCGGCCGCCCGGCAGACGCCATAGCAGATTGCAACCGTGCGCTGGCTCTCGACCCCGCGTACATCCCGGCGCTCCGCGCCCGTGCCGATCTCCTTCAGTCCGTGGGGGCGCTCTCCGATTCCCTCCGTGACCTTGACCACCTCAAACTTCTGTACGACGCGGCGCTCCGTGACGGCAAGCTGCCGGGGCCCAGGTGGCGACCGCAGGGTGGCGTGCGCTACCGCGAGATCGCGGGCGCCCACCGCAAGCTGATCGCCCGGATTCAGGGGCTACGCAGCCGCGCCGCCGTGGGCGAGGGGTGCAACATCGATTACTACGCTCTGCTGGGCGTGCGGCGCGGGTGCACGCGCTCTGAGCTGGAGCGCGCGCACTTGCTACTCTCGCTCAAGCTCAAGCCGGACCGCGCCGTGGTGTTCGGCGAGCGGCTGGAGCTGGTGGACGAGCACCGCGACCTGGAGGCGGTGCGCGACCAGGCCCGCATGTCCGCTCTGCTCCTGTACAGGATGCTGCAGAAGGGGTACTCGTTCATCATGTCGGCCGTGATCGACGAGGAGGCCGCCGCTAGGCAGAGGGCGAAAGAAGCCGCGGCCGCCGCCGCGGCGTTGCCCAAGCAGCAACAACAAGCGGCGCCGATACCGGAGAATCCTCCCGTCGTAAACAGCGCCACCGCGAGGACAACGGCGAAACCGAAGGTGAAGGCTGCAGCGGCCGTTGCAACGGTGTCGTCCCAGGCGACGGCGTCGGTGTACCAAGGGGTGTTCTGCCGCGACCTGGCGGTGGTGGGCACGCTGCTGTCCCGCAGCGGGTTCGACCGTTCCCTCCCGGTGAAATGCGAGGCGATGAGCTGCTGATGGCGATGGGTTGCAGCCGCGCAGCCAGGTGCGATCTGATGCGGTTGGGACGAGGAACAGACATAGGAAGCTGGCGGGAAAAAGCAGACGCGTTTGAATTTATTGGATAGAACTCGCTATTGTACAGTTTTGTGTTCTTGGAGGAAAAGAAAAAGGGGGCGACGCATCTTGTCTTGTACTAGTATCTCTTGTGTGGAGGTGAATGAAATTTTTTGGTTTCGTCTTGTTGAATGCGAGTTGTTACAGTGCAGTAAAGTTTCTCTTTCTTGTAAGTACTGTAGTAGAGTATGATGCACATTTTGAACTCTACCTTTTGACCTCATGATTCCGGTTTCTACCATTTGCACTCCACCCATATACCTCGTGTATGTATGTATGTATGTATGTATTGGACGAGTGGAGGTATCTTTTTGCGTCGCATGGTGCCAAGGAGAGGAAGGAGGCGTTGAGTGGGGGTGTTTGCTCTTAAAGCTGGCCGTAAATGGCGTGCAGTGAGTGATTGCCTGGACTCTCTCTGCTGCTGGTGTGCCACCAATGGGCGATGCAATCCACTGATCCTCCTGCAGCGTGCAACCTGTGGTGGTGGTGCCCGGTCCAGCTCCTGCCATTGTGTTTGCGCAGGCTCCCGTGCTGGCTGGATGGGATCTAGCGGCTAGATCATCGTCTCGTCTCTTTTGCCCGCTTTTACAAGTAAACTGTACCTCATCGCCCGCCGCAGACACCTATACTCTACTTTGCAGCCGGTACAGAGCGTGAGAGGGGCAGGGCCTTTTCCCCCACCCGTGTAGTCGCTGAAAGTGAAGGATGATGATGCATCGGTACGTGCATCCGCGTCGTCACCACCAAAATATCCGGCCAGCGCTTGCCGCACCAGCCCTCCATTAGGCCAACTCTACACCACGACCTCAAACGGACCTCTGTTTTATTCGGATTTTGTCCGTTTGGGTAAGGAATTAGGGTTGTGTCCGGACGTGTTCTGGGATGCGGTGGCCGTGCGTCCAGCGTGCGGTCGCATTCCTTTTGCCCCATTCTGTCCGCGTTTAAATGCCAAGCCATAGTTCAGGCCAGCGGTCCCGGTTCATCTCGCCGGCAACAGAGCCAGCGGCCTACACGTCCATCGCCGGCATCAGCCAGCGGCCGGCAATACAGCCAGCCTCCAAAATGAATAGTTGTCCTCGCCGGCAACACAGCCGACCTCCAGAATGAATGTTTTTCTCGCCGACACACTGCCAGCGGCCTAGCGGGCGGGCGACACCCATGCCAGCCTCCAAAAAAAGAACAGCCACGGCCATTCGGACGACCTAGTTCAAGCCTTCGGCGTCGAGCATCTCCTTCTGCCTGGCCTCGAACCAGTCCCTCGTCTTCTCGCTCATCTTCGACAAGTCCACGCTCATGATCGCAAGGGCCACCTCCTTCGCTTTGGTGGCGGCATTGGTGGCCTCGATGTCGAGCTGCCTCTGCCTGGCCTTGACGTTGTCAGCCTCGATGTCGAGCTGCCTTTGCCCGGCCGCCTCCTCCATGTCGAGCTATCTTTGCCGGGCCGCTTCCTCCATGTCGATCTTCCTCCTCTTGGTCGCCTCCTCCATCTCAAGCCTCTTTCTTTGAAGGTCTAAGTATTGCTTCATTTGCTCGTCCTTACTTTGCCGCTTCTTCTCGTCCCTCACATCCTTTTGAGACATCATGCCATGCAAAGTGTCATGCAATGCCATGGATGAGGCATCACATATGTCGTCAATCTTGGAGTTGGTCTTGCCCCTCGGCCTCTTCAACGCCTCGCCATCTTCACCTCCGGCGAACTTGGCCGTCTTTAGTCCTCTCTTCCTTTGTAGTTCACGGTATTGGTCCTTGAACTTAGGGCAATTGTTGATGATCGTCCAACAATGCGTAAGAGTGAATGGCTTGTCATCGTGCCGGGCCTTGAATGCCTCCAAAGATTGAAATACCTACACGACATGATCAACAACAAGTGAACAAGCAAACATATACACGGCCGAAGTGTCATGGCCGTAGTAAGGAAAGGGCTAGGAAGAGGAGAGGATACCATGTCCCCAACGCCGAGACCACTCACGGGCCGTGCTTCAACGCTCTCAAATGCGGCGCAATACTCGTTGCACTCTTGTTGGATGAACAACCATCTCTTTTGAATCGAGTCGATGCCACGGTTGCTTGTAATTTGGTAGGGCTCAAATATCTTCCTTTCATGGAATGTTTTGTAGACTCTCATCCAAAAAACAATGCCCTTTTGTTGTGAGCCGGTCCTCGGATCTTGGATAATATCCATCCAAGCTTGGCAAATCAACTTGTCCTCATCTTGTGTATATGAACCCGTGCGAATGCTCTTCCTCTTTTTTTGTGCTTCCGCTCTTTGGGTGAGCTCATCGATGAACAATGGCTCCCCACTAATATCAACGTCATTGCCTTCTTCTTCATCACCATCACCTTTGACATAGATGTCATCGTCTTCATGCCACGAGTCACCATGGTCGTAGTCAGCACGGTCGTCGGCCTCTTCATCGGGTACGTACTGGGCGCGGCCATCCTGACTTTGGGTCTCGACGGGGTCGTAGGCATGGCCATGCCCACCCTCGAAGATCACGTCCTCCATGTACTGGTTGTAGAAGGGGTCGTCCACCGTTGGCGTTGGTGTTGGCATTCCGTCAAACAAGACGCGGGGGCCCGGCATCGTGCCCGTGAACGGTGCCCGTGCTTGCTTTCGTTGCATCTCAACGGACGGGCGGCCGCCGCTGCTGGACCCAGGCGTGACGTTGAGGTCGATGACGGCCGCAGGGCGAGGTGTGGACGGCGCGAACAAGCCCACGTCCGGCGACCCCGAGAAACGGGTTTGGCCGTCGGGCCTTGGCGGAGGAAAGCCGGGCGACATGGGCGCGGTCCGCGAGGTCGGCCACTGGCAGTGCGAATGCCGGGCAACCAACGAGCCTGTGCTCGCCGGCCTGACGGCCGCTGCAGGGGAACCGGCCGGATGTCCCATACTAAGCATGAGGAGGGAGTGCGCTTTGTTGACGATGTCCTCCTTCTCGTCGACCGCGGCCTTGCGCCGCGTGGCCTCCATCACATCGCGCTCGGCGACAAACTTGGACATGGCGGCACTGACCTTGACGGCCACTCTCCGGCCCTTCCTCTTCGCTGATTCCGCCTCCAACTGGGCGATCTCCTCCAGCGTGCACTCCGACCGCGGCTTCCTTGGCGCCTTGGCTGCCTTCTTCTTCACCTTTTCGGGTGGGTCGACGGCCAGGCCGCCGGAATCTGGCTGGGCGTCGGCCATGGACGGGGGAGAGAGGGGGCGGCGGGAGGGACGTGGGAGGGTTTGGGGGAAAATGGCGCCAAATGGGCGGGCTGGCTTTTTTGCTTTGTGCCACCGACAGGCGGGCCAGGGGAGGACAAGCGCGCACGTCCCGCCTGTCCGCGCGCTGTCCGTTTCACCCAAAACCGGCGCAAACTTGGGTCGGGGATGGGTCGAAAGCGGACAGAAAACGGACAAAAATCCGTTTGCGCCCGCGCGCTGGGCCACCTCGTTTGTCCCTTTTACCCCAAACAGACGGGGCCAGACAGGATGGGGTTGCAAGGTGGAGTTGGCCCACCACGCGACCCCATCTTGTCCGAGTACGTCCGTTTGAGATAGAACAGGCGAATAGCACGACCCAACGTGCTGCTCCAAACGGACAAATGCTCGGATTTCGTCCGTTTTCAACCCATCCCCGGCCCAAAATTACGCCAGTTTGGGGTGAAACGGACATCGCGCGGACGGGCTCATCGCACGCCCTTGTCCCCCCTGTGGCCCGCCTGCCGGGGACACTAGCAGTCCCTTCGCTTTCAACGCTTCCGCCTCCTCTACCCGCCCCGCCGCCGGCGCCGCCGCTATTCTTCGGCCGCCTCCTCACCACGCAGCCCCCGGCCGTCCTGTTGGGGAACATAGTAATTTCAAAAAAATTCATACGCACACACAGGATCATGGTGATGCATAGCAACGAGAGGGTAGAGTGTTGTCCACGTACCCTCGTAGACCGAAAGCGAAAGCATTAGCACAACGCGGTTGATGTAGTCATACATCTTCACGATCCGACCGATCAAGTACCGAACGTACAACACCTCCGAGTTCAGCACACGTTCAGCTCGATGACGTCCCTCGAACTCTGATCCAGCCGAGCATTAAGGGAGAGTTTCGTCAGCATGATGGCGGGGTGACGATGATGATGTTCTACCGACGCAGGGCTTCGCCTAAGCATCGCTATGATATTATCGAGGTGGATTATGATGGAGGGGGGCACCGCACACGGCTGGGAGAGATCAACAGATCAACTTGTGTGTCTAGAGGTGCCCCTGCCCTCGTATATAAAGGAGTGAGGGAGAGGCCGGCCCTAGAGGGGGCGCGCCAAGTGTGGGGAGTCCTACTAGGACTCCCAAGTCCTAGTAGGATTCCCCTTTCCTTTCCAGAGTAGGAGAGAAGGAAAGAGGTGGAGAGGGAAAAGGAAAAGGGGGCTGCACCCCTTGTCCAATTTGGACCAGAGGGGGGGCGCCTCCTTCCTTTTGGCCTCTCCCCTCTATCCCGTATGGCCCAATAAGGCCCAATACTTCTCCCGGTGAATTCCCGTAACTCCCCGGTACTCCGAAAATACCCGAATCACTCGAAACCTTTTCGATGTCCGAATATAGTCGTCCAATATATCGATATTTACGTCTCGACCATTTCAAGACTCCTCGTCATGTCCCCATCTCATCCAGGACTCCGAACTACCTTCAGTACATCAAATCACATAAAACTCATAATATAACCGTCATCAAACTTTAAGCGTGCGGACCCTACGGGTTCGAGAACTATGTAGACTTGACCGAGACACGTCTCCGGTCAATAACCAATAGCGGAACCTGGATGCTCATATTGGCTCCCACATATTCTACGAAGATCTTTATCGGTCAAACCACATAACAACATACGTTGTTCCCTTTGTCATCGGTATGTTACTTGCCCGAGATTCGATCGT